CTGTGTGTGACACAGGAGCCTAGGACCAAGGAGGCTGTCGCATGGTAGGAGTACAAGGCATGTGCAGGATATCAATGTTCTGTGAAATATTGGCACTGAGGAGGATATCAAAGGGCCTACAGAGTTGTCAGTGTGCTCAGCCTTCCTAAGTGGCACAGGGGCTGTGTAGAACGCATGCTTCTCTGACGCCACTTGAGTGGGGGTGGAGAGTTCCAGGGAGCTGAGCTGGGGGTCTCGCTTTATTTTTAACTCTAGGCCATCTGCTTCCCACTTCCCACCGGGTGGGCCACAGTCTGGGAAATATTCAGAGTTGTTGAACATATGCTGCTCCCAATGCGAGGCAAGTGGGGGGTGCTGGGAAGAGGCGTGTGCGGGGGTGGAAGGGCTCTGTTCTCAAGAGCTGTGACCACCAGGTATGTGCAAGGGTGTAGGGCGCTTTCTCAGGAGTCGGGGCCACTAGGTGTGCTGGTAGTACTCATTGTGGCCTCCTTGGTGAGGCCTTGGCGTTTCAGTCTCTGGGGAGAAGTGACACAAGGAGCTCAGAGCAAACCTCTCAGGGTAGGTGCCTCCTAGAGTCTGACAGGTGGCTAGCTTCTAACAGAGCCCACCCTGTTAAGAGACTATCCTCAGACAGTTTGGAAGATTCCCCAAATCCTCCCTCTGACTTCCCCAGGCCTTCAGGGTTCCCTGGAGTCAAGATTGCTCAAGCAAACATCAACCATGAGATGAGTGAGTAAATAAATAAATAAATAAATAAATAAATAAATAGTGCCCTTTTCTTACCAATTGACTCATAATGAACAAACATTGTTCCCATCTCCCCACCCCCCCCACCCCGCAGGTTTTCTGTCCAAAATTACCACACAAAAGGAACTGTCAATACTTTGTAGCTGTTTATACAATAAGCCTATGGTTAGCAATTGCATTTTACAAAGTTACCAAGACAACTGAGACTGTAGCAGAACCTGGACTACCTGCACCATGAAAATTTAACAATTGTGAAAGGCTTTTAAGCAGTGGGAATGGCAGGGGGAGGTGGAGCTGAGGTCTCAGCAGACTTCCAGAAACCTCCCTTACCGACTCATGGCCTGGCAACAGTGCCTCCTGGCATTGCTTGCTCTCAGCATATGGAGACTATACCTTCTCTCAACAGACATTTGTGAAGACACTTCCAGGTGCCAAGTCTCCTGCCAGGCTCTTTGGATCTATTTTGATCTTTGCTGCACAGAAGAGGGACAGGTGTCAGGGAGGGCAAGTGCCCCATCCATGGCCACTTACCGACAGTGCAACAGACCAAGTTCGCACTCAGAGTCCCAAAGCCCTTGTCCTTCCAGAGGGGCTAGGGCCTCCTTTGGCATCTCCATTCTGATATTAAACCAGGGAGATATCTCTGAAGCCCCGATGGAGGCCTGGGGGCTCCTGATGCCCCAGACCACAGCCCTGGCCAGAGTCTGTGCAAATGCTTCCCCTTCCTGCAGGAGGAAATGTTTCCCAGGAGCTTCTGGGTGAGCAGGGTCTGCAACACAGAGCCACAAAGAGCGTGATTTCAAAATCAGACTCAGAAGCAAAATGCCAGAAATGAGGAAAATATTTGCGACTATCATTTTATGCTGAAATTCAGTGGTGCTCAGTGTTTGTGAATGTGGGTGCATGTTCCTCTGTGTGTGTGTTCGAGTGTGTAATTACTCTTGTGTATGCGCATGTATGTATATGTGTGTGTGTGTGTGTGTTGTGTGTGTGTGTGTGTGTGCTTCTGTGTAAGGGTAAACAGAGGCAGTATGTTTTTCCCAGTTAAAGTGAAAGCAAGACTTTTGGTCAAGATAGGAGGCAACTGAAAAGCATTTTGCAGAGTTTCTTTGTCTGAGAACAAGAAAAAAAATGCATTATTTTGTGAGAAATAGTGTGTGGAAAAATTTCACTAACATTCAATGAAACTGGAGAATGGCAAAATTATCAATGGAAGCTAGGTCTGACTACATTGCTCACTGGTGAATTTCCTTCATTGAGTGTGGACAGCTCTCTGCTTCTGGGAACACAGCTTGCAGAGAAGTGTTCATTGAGTCCTGAGCATCAAGAGAAGGCACCCAAAGTCAGCCCAGTTATCACTCACAGAGCTGAGTAATAAAGGACATTAATCAAGGAAGGAAGGGATGTGTGTGTGGTTGGGGGGGTGGTGAACCATTTTGGAGCAGTACTCTGCCAATCACAAGGCCAACTCCAGACATCTGAGGAATGGCAGGGGCCATTTTCCAGCCTGGAACTGTCTTCAAATATTTGCAGATGAAAGGCAGCTGGGGGTGTGGGGGGAGGGGGAGACAGTCACTTGGCTTCCATCTCCATGAACATAATTCAAGGAAACTTTCATTTGCTAGAGCCCAGAAGCCAGTCTGAAAGCAATCAAACATCCCACAGGCACTTCAGTTTGTAGAGATATATCCTCATTTACCACCCTTTTCATCAACTCTCTTGGCATTCCTAAGATACTGAGAGAGGGTGTTGTCCACATTTGGGCGTTTGAGGACCTGAAGTCCTTACAGTCTCCCTGGGCTTTAGGGTCTTCCTTGGGGGTCCAATCGAAGAATAAGAAGTCCCCAAGTCCCTAGAATTCCCAGGTATGTTCTGATGGAACATGAAATTTCCCTGCCGCATGGGCTGCCATGTCTGCTCAACTGGGCGTTGAGCAGGTGTCAGAAGGGCTGGTGCCATCCTTGTCTTTCTCTGGGTAGACAAGAAGAGATATTTAAAAGAAAACTTTGAACCATGAAGCACGGAGAAAAGAGGTCTCAGGAATAATCTAGAAAGGCATGAGATGTTTTCCAAATGCCCATCCAGCTCCACTCCTAACTAGCTAAATTCACAGCAGACTACCTTCTCTGAATGTGTGGTGTGACATTAGCCGGGGAAACGGTGGAATCTGGCTGTGGAGAGACTCAAGGATCAGCAAAGATATTGTCTACTCATGGGCTTATGGGACAGCCACCATGCTTGGGGAAGAGATCAGCCAATTGGGAGTCTGAGAATGTTCAGCCAATCAGCTCAGCGAAGCTGAGAAAGCCATGATCCGTGAGGGCATCCACAGCATATGTAGAGAGGGCATGTGTCTCCTCACCTGGAACTGCCCAGTTTCCTGTCACTTCAGCAATACCTCTGACCCTGGAGTCACAGCTGAGTTCCCACAAGTAAGCATGACAAAGAAGGGGGCCTTCTGCATCCCTGGACATGTATGGAAGAGCTCTTCATTCTGGGAGGAGGAGAGAATGGGAGGTAGCAGGGCTCTAGAACCAAACGGCAGGAGGAAGTTGTTTGCTATTGACCAGAGATCTGACTGCACCTGGTAGAGGGGTTACCAAGTGCAGGGTGGGGAGTCAGGAGCAGTGGCCTGCCAGGGTCTCCCTGCCAGTGAAGAAAGGACTCACTGTTTCCTGACAACAGATTCTAAGAGTTCTAGAAGGCCAGAGGTCAACAGCAGGGCTGAGGGTCCTTGTGGCTCCTAGGGAAGGAAGGGGGGTGGGCTTGATCAAAAGGCCCTTGAGTGGGGCCCCTTTCAGCAGGGATCCAAGGGCTCCCTGGTGTTCTTGCTCCCTCCAGGAAGCTAGGGAGGGAGAGAGGGACCAAAGGGTATGGGGGCAGCCCCAGCCTCCAATGGATGAAAAGCTGAGCCTCGTCTGCAGGCTGGGACTTAGGCCACACTGCTTCACAGAGCATGCAGCCCTCAGCAGAGGTCCTCCTGGACCTGCCTGGGCTCTCTGCCTTCCCTGCAGGAGGAACGAGCCATCTGCATTGCTTTCATTCCAGCCACATCAAAGTGAGTAAAGACAGAGGTGCCCCTGGGAAATGGGAGTAGGGGCAGACATTTCCTATTGTTCACTCTCATAGCAGAGTGACCCCAAAATTCTATCCGACAGTATCGGGGTGGGGCCAGCTTATCAGTAATGGGCTTCCCTAACCATCACTACAGAGTCACATCCTCAAGGGTGTGGAACCTCCCAAGGTCACGAGCAACAAACTGAGCAGCTCTGGAAGCACGGAACCAACAGGCATGGCATAGAGAGGCCAGCTCTCACCTTGAGTGCTGACATTTTTACATCACCTCAATGTGGCTGCAGTTCAACCTCTTGAACCCACTTCCCCTATGCTCCATGTTGGTACACTTTCTGAAGACTCATTTTGAGAAACAGTGTTGAGTCAAAGCTCTGTTTAATAGGCCGTGTAAGCTCCCGGCTGGTCAAGAAGGATCCCCACAGTAGACCATTTGAGAACACTGACTGCTCTGGTCTAGGCCCCACACACTTCTGCTTGTCCTGCCTCTCATCCGGGCCTTACATCCTCCCCTCTGACCCCCTCCCCTCACTCAGGGCTGACAGCACAATTCTGGCTGGATACACACTGGCTCTTGGCCATTGGGTCAGTGTCCCACCTTTGCAGGGGTCCCCTGGAGCCTTGGACAAGAAGACTGAGGAACCTGTTATTTCTTAATGAGTAATAAATCAAACACTGAAGCAACAGGCAAGTTAATGAAATAAGTGAGGTTAATCTGTTAAGTACACCCATGTAGCACATGATTGGGGTGTCCACCATCTTGATATTTCTACTTCTTTCAGAGAATGGGTAGAAGGAAAGAGATGCTGTGATACTGAGCTCTGACCAGCAGGCTCTCAGAGCCCTCAGCAGACCCTAGGTTTGACCTTGAATCCACAGTTCCTTGCTTTGAGAAGGTCTGTCCTTTCTTCCACCCTCCACTCCCCTGCAGCCTCAAGCACAGCAGAACTGTTCCAGATGGTGCTCCCCAGGAACCTGGGATAGTAGGTGCCATCTGTCACATCTCAGATGTCATGTCCACTGGTGACTCACAAGCAGGGTGGGTCACCGTAAGGTGCTGGGAGGAGGGTGGGCAAGAATTGGCCATGTGCATCGAGAGCCCTGCAGAACACAGAGGATTCCCAGCCATTGCAGCTAGAACCCTGGTGGCTCCCCACAGATCGGCGGAGCCTAGGGTACTCAGCCCCCACGAGCACACTTTCTTCCAGGAGGGCAGGGTCGTCTTCAGGACAGAGCGTGTCTAGAGTGAGACAGCTTGTTAGCACCAGTCATGCGGGGTGCAGGGCTGCCTGCAGCTGACTGGGTTGTGGGGTTCATCTCCTGGGGAGGACTACTTTGGGGGCGACGACTCCGGCCGCACACCAAGCGCTTTTCATCCAGCAGGGATAGGTGGTATTCACACAGGTCGATCAAAGAGGCCACCTGCTCATGCAGAGGCAACATCTTGAACTTCCTCTGGGCCAGGAAGAAGAAAGCTTCAATAAATGCCTGTAGACACATCCCTGTGGACAGAGAGATGCTGTCAGAGAACCATGCTCCCCCAAGGAGGCTCAACCCCAAAACTCAATGGCGAGCAAGAGTCATTCTGTTTGCCACACCTCCATTCTAGAAACTCCACTTGAGACCAGCACACAGGTACTCTGAACTTAAACAGATCTTAGAGATGGGGAAAACGACTCTCAGAGAAGTGAGGAGACCTGAGGAGGAAGTGGTGGTGCCTGGGTTTAAAACCTTGCCCAAATTTTATTCCTGGGTACCACGATGAACTGTATTCCCATGATTCCCTGCTCCTCAAACTTTCACCATTGGAGGTGAATACTCTCCATTCTGATGTGGGTATATTCAACCAACAGTATCTTAAGGTTACTGTAAAATTTACCTCACCGAGTAAAAGAAACTCACCCCCCCTTTCTCTTTGGTTGTCATGTTGTAAATGTGACTCCCCACCTTCCCCACCACTGTGTTGAGTGCTTGGTCTCCTGCTAATGGCACTATTTGAGAAGGTTTTGGAAACTTCAGTTTCCTTCTCGAAGAGCCTACCTGAAGGGATGTGGTCACTGGAGACATGCCTTTAAAGACTAACCCTTGTCCTCTGCCCCTACTTACTTTACTTGTGTTCCACAACGTGACCAGTCTCCTTGCCACACACTCCTGCAACCATGATACTTTGCTAAAGTATATGGGCCAAGCAACCATGTACTAATCCTCTGAAACTGGGAAGGTATCTACTCTTTCCTTCCCATTAAAGTTTCCTCGGGTGCATCTCAGTCACAGCTACATGAGAATAGCGAACATGCCAGTGACAGTTATGTTCTGTGATGTATGATGTACCACACCCTGCTCAAACATGCCAGTGATGGTTATGCTCTGGGATGCAGGATGTACCGTCCCCAGCGTGCCCTGGAATGCCCTTCCTGACTATAACTCACAAGCTCCTACCTGTTCTTGGGATTTGAGCTCAAAATTCCAAAGTTAGAATTAAGCAGGTCCCCTGGTACATTTGGGTTTTTCAGGGCTGGGTGTAGGATCCCAGGTCCTGTATATGCACCAAACATTCTACTGCAAAACTTTGTCCCGGTCCCACGTGCTTTGGTGTCAAGTGACAAAATAGAATTTAGTGCAGTTTCAGGTTGATGGGTAAATGAACAGAAAGTGTCCCTTGCCTCACACAGCTTGTCACAGTGTGGCTCACTTTTCACAACTGATTAATCAGTATGGAAGGTGCAGGTGTTTATCTGGGCCCATTGTTCTGGTAAATGTGTAGAAGGCAGGAGCCTTTGCTTATGGTGTCACTGGCCCCCACCTTCCCTGGCTTCCACTCACCTTGCCTCCTCCTCACCCCTCCAGTCCTTGGGGAACCTCTCATTGTTCTAGTAATGCTCTAGCTTTGCCTTTCCCAGAATGGCAGCCAATAGAGCTGTTGCCTTTTTAGGGTGGATTCTTCCACTTAGTAGGTTCTGTTACAGTCTGTCCATGTCTTTTTGTGGTTTGTTAGTGCCCCCCACCACTGCCCTTCCACATGATCCTCTTCCCCTCCAATTCCCTCCCCCTCCCCCAGCTCCTCCTCCCTTCTGCTTTCCATTATAGTCCATTCACTATTGGCTCTATTTCCCATTTCCTTTAAGTCCCTTCTTTCATTCTCAAGACCCTCTTTCTGGTTTTGCAGCCTATAAACACACTTTTATAAACACCACACACAGAGAATTTTAGAGTAGGCTCTACACATGAAAGGGTATGTGAGTTATTTTTCCAGGTCAATTGACTCTATTTCCTGCAAATGTCATTGTTTCATTTTTCTTTGTTTTCTTTACCCATTCATCCAGCATCCATGAACATCTGGGCTGCTTCCACCTCTTGACTGTTTCAAAACTTGGGTGTGCGAGTATCTCTGTGGGGTTTTGCATTAGAGTCCTTCGGGGCACATGCCCAGGCGTGGAACTCTAGGCTTAGTTTATTGAAGAAGTCCCGTGCTGATGTCCATAGTGGCTGACTCAGTTTCCACCTTGCCAGCAGCGAGGAAGAGTTCCTCTTCAGCATCCTCACCAGCATTTGTTGTCCTATTTATTTATTTATTTATTTATTTAGAGGCAGGGTCTCACTATGTAGCCTGGCTGATCTGGAACTTCTATGGAGACCAGGCTTTGAACTCACAGAGATCTGCTTGCCTCTGACTCCTGAGTGCTGGGATTAAAGATATGAGTCATCATCCTGACTGGGTGAGATAGACTCTCAAAGAAATTTTATTTATTACTAATTGTTCTGTGACTATGCATGTGTGTTTGTATGAAAGTGTATATATGTAGTATATGTGCTCATGTGTATGCATGCATATCTGGAGGTCAGAGGTCAACCTTGGGTGTTGTTCTCCAGTCAACCACTATCATTCTTGGTTTATTTTTGAAATAAGGTTTCTCACTGAGACCTAGGGTTCATCAGTTAGGCTAAGCTGACTGGCCAGGGAGCCCAAAGCCCTGACTGTTTTCGCCTCCCAGCGACAGGGCTCCAATCCTGTTCCTCCATGCCTGGTATTGCTTGTGGATGTTGGAAATTCAACTCCAGTCTTCATGGCTGCCCAGCATGTACTTAACCAGTTGAGCTATCTCCACATTCCTCAAAGCAGTTTTAGTCTGCATCCCCCTGATGGCTAAGGGTACCTTTTCAAGTATTGTTATTGGCTGTCTGTGTTTCTTCTCTTTGGAGCTGTCTGTTGAGTTCATCATCCCATTTACTAGTTGGATAATTTAGGGCTTGGTGTTGTTGTTGTAATCAATATATCTTTGACATTAATCTCTGTCAGATGTACAGTTGGCGTGGCTTTCCCCCTCTGCTGACCCACACCTGGGACCTGAGAACACCTATTGACTTGGGAATGGCTTAGGTCTCCTTCCAAACAGACCAGCGTTGTGACTCTGCTGCTCTTGATGGATGCCCCAAAGCCCTTTGCTTCACAGGAGGAGATGGCAAAGGATGTGGTACTTGTGGGAAATCGGTGGGAAGCCCTCTTGTGGTGGACAGACAGGGAAACAAAGCCTCAGTTGAACTAAGGCAGAGATGTCCAAAACACCAACTCTTGGCTAGATTTACTAATGTAGATGTGTACATGTGTTCTGTACATATGACCATGTGTGTGTTCAAGCATAAGAGTGTGCAGATGTTAATGTGTGTGTCACGACTGGGTGGGTGGGTCAGATAAATGGAAAATGCCAGGCCACCAAGGGCCATGTGTGAGACAGTGCATCTCACTGGCCACCAAGGACGGTGTCTGAGACAGTGCATCTCTGGCATCTGACAAGATAAGGAGCTTGGGCCAGAGTGTAAATCAGTCACCTCATCAATCATGTTGCTTACGTGAGCTGACAGTACTTACAGCAAGTCTTCCTCAACAAAGGAAGTGGCCAGCTGTTTATGCTTTGGCTCCAGCCTCTGGTCCAGGCTGTAAGCAGCATTTTGCAGGTCACAGCTCCGAGTACTTCCAATGTCTACACACAGTAGCACTTAGCACTAATGGGTATTCCAATTACCATTGTCTCGTTAAAATGTGGATTCTGGGGTGAGGCATAGATGTGCATGTTGTTAGATCTGCTGGCTGCTGGCCTCTAGACCCCATTGAGTAGTAGGATGGACAATACAGCACCTTGTAACTTATAAGATTACTTTTGTCTCCTTCATTAAAGACTTTGTGTGATTTGACCTGTCATTCACAGAAGGAAAGGGTACATTCCCATGGCTGGATTATTTGGATGAGGATATTGTGAGAGGAAAGAGGTTTAATTCACTAACCTTGGCTTTCTTTTTGCTTGCCTGTCTTTTCTAATTTCCTAGAGCAAATGTGTATTAAAAACATACAGAAAAATACATATTTTTGTCTTTTGAATCAGGTGAGAAAAGGTCTCACCTTATAGTCCAGGCTGGTCCCAAACTTGTGCAATCCTCCTGCCTCAGTCTCCTGAGTGCTGTGATGGCACATCTGTACCCCTACACTTGACTTGTAACCAGAAACTCCAGTGCATGAGAAGAGGTGGCCACAGGGAACTTGCTTCTTAATAGAGAGCCTAAATTTGAAGTTGCATACCTGTGTTGCTTTGAAAAAGTACTGTGCGCATGGGTGCACATGCACAGACCTCTCTCTCTCTCTCTCTCTTTTGATAAAACATTTAAAATAATACACATACGCAACAGCTCTGCAACTATTTTTGTGGGATGTGTTTCAGGACTCCCAAGAGAACCCCTGAAACAGCCAATTCTAAATACTATTGCTGTACGTCCTGTATTTCCCTTTAAATGTCCTGCAGAAACACAACATAGCACCAGAGTTAATTTTTCTCTTCCTCTTTTATACTCAGTGTCACCCGTGCATCACTGATCTGTGTATTTGGGGCCACTACTGAGTAGTAGGGGTTATCTAGCATAAGCACTGCCATGTTGTTGCACCGTGGGCAGGTAACCCATACAGTGTGGATACACTGGATGAAGAGATGATTCGTGGTTTTGGTGGGATGGAAAAGGTCAGTCTGAGATCCCATCATATGATTCAGAAAAAAAATTCACACCATGGGAATTGTTTATCTCTGGAAAGCAATGCTTTGGATAAGGAGAGACCACCATTAAGGGAAAATAAGATGATAGAATATGGGCATCAGTGATTCACACAAAAGTGCTGTCCTGCCCCTGCATTGTGAATGCAAATCACAGCATTTGGTGAGTTCGAGACTAGCCTGGTTTACAGAGTGAGTTCTTAGAAAGCCAGGGTTATATGAGAAACTCTATCTTGAAAAAACAAGAAGAGAGAGAGAGAGAGAGAGAGAGAGAGAGAGAGCCAACCTCACATTTAAGCCAGGTGGGTACCAACTTACAGCCCTTCTCACTCACACAGACCTGTTCATCTTACAAGACTCCTGACTCTTCACAATCTACAAGGCCACCATCATCACTGTGGAATCCTTGCTTGGCATCACCATTTTACCCAAGAGCCAGTAGTACATGAAATCAGAAGTCAGTCAGT